ATGGTCACGCCGCAATCCCTTCTCCTCCATTCTCCTCTCGGGATCTTGGGCACACACGCACACGCGCCCAGCGTGAATTTTAAGCCACCAGGTCCAGGACGCAAACCGCGGTCGACCACGTGGGAGTCCAGCAACATAGCCATTATGCTAACTGCTGGTTTCCGAAAGTTAAATAATTCTTTAAAAAATATTTGTGTGTGGGTGTGTGTGTGAATCACATTGGGGCCAGGAAGTGGTGTGGACTGGACTCCCACATGGTCAACCTTGGTTTGAGTCCCAGACCCAGCAGCTTGAAAATCATGCTGGGTGCATGTGCGCGCATGCCCAAAATCTCAGGAGGAGAAGGGACTGCAGTGTGCCCATCCACCCAGGGGGTGATTTTTCACTTTCCCTCTCTGTCTCTGTTTCTCTCTGGCAAGTGCACGTGATTATGACCAAAAAGAATTTTTTAAAAAGAAAGAAAAATATTAATATATATTTATTTTCTTTTCAAGTTTATTTTTTCCATGAGTGAAACAGAGAGACGGCACCCCGTGACAGTCTCGGTGCCGCAATCCACCCGCAGCTTCAGCCAGCCCCAGACCCTGGGCACCACCAGTGCACGCAGGGCGGTCTTGGACCCAGAGCAGGGTCTGTGCACCTGGGCCAGCCCCGCAGGGGGTGGCGTGTCCCTGCCACAGCACCATCGGACCTGATTTTACTACGCTTAAACAAGTCAACAAATATTTCTTAAACTTCTCAGTTTTAATTTCTTACATGGTGAATATTGATAAATATCACCTACATGAACAAAAACTCTTTGAAGTCTTCAATATTTTTAAAGGAAGTGTTTGATTTTATTTGCTATTATCATTATTGTCCTCAATTTTTAAGAGAGTAAGGGATCCTGTCACCAAAAAGTTTAAGAATCACAGGACTCCTAACTATACAAACCTGTTGCGTGCTATGGTCAGAAACGTGGGGCCAAAATTTCTCTTTAATTTTATTTATTATTGTTATCATTTGAATTTGACCTCACATCTGATTCCCTGCCGCTGCTGGGGTTCTGTGCGGTTCCCCTAATCCCCGGGAGTGAGTGTGCTCGAAGAGGCAAGGAAGTGTCCTGTCACTGTGATCCTAATTTTAACCCTGCAGATGTCCTGGAAGGGCATGGGGGACCCTGCCAAGGTTCTGTGGGCTGCAGTTTGAGAACAGGCCCTAGCTCTGGGTTCTGAAGAACCCGGAGGCAGGTCTTGTGGCCTCTTGTCCTTATCTCTAACCTGGGAGTGGTGACACGAAAACCATAAGCACATCCCCTGTGGGGCTGTGGCCGGGCACATGGGAGCCGACTCTCAGAATCCCGCCTGGCAGGTGGCAGGCAGGAAACATTAGCCGTCAGTAATTTGACGAATGCCATTTTATTTTATTAACCAACACTTCATTCATGCAGTTGATTTCTCTGGAGGCCTGCCTTGTGCTGTCATTGCTGGGGACACGGTGACTGTGACGACTGAGGTAGCCCTGAGGGAGCTCCCAGTCCAGTGGGTCCCAGTGCTTTGATCTAAGGGATGGACCTGGGCTGAGTTCAAGGAATTCTAGGGCGTGAAAAGGGCATGTGGAGAGGGGGCCTGCACGAGGTCGGCAGCTGCCCAAGGTCACTGTGTCCGTACCCCGCCTCCAGCACCCGTTCATGCTGTTGCTGGTGAGAAGCAGGTGTCGTACCCGGGGCACCCCCTCCGCAGGCGCTCCCGTATGAAGAGTGCAGGCTTCTGTGCTCGTTGGTGGAAGTCCCTCCTCCGATCCCACCACAGTCCCTCATGCTGCAGATCTTCCTTTAACTGCATTTCCCTCTGCAGCCTCTGAAGACTTAGGATGTCCCAGCGGAAGAGCTGCCCTGGAGGACGCAGGGTCGGGGCCGGGCTCCTCCACTGCCCCCCATCCGGGGGCCTTCGCTCCGGGCCGGGTGAGTCAGCCCCCGGCAGCTCCAGCGTCATCCCGGCCGCTCCACTCCGCGCTATTTCGGGCTCCGGGCGCTATAAATAGGCGAGCCGAGCCGAGCCGAGCCGAGCCG